CCGCGGTAACTCAATACTTTTCCTGGGCTGTGACCAAAAGTTGGGGCTCTTCAGCCCAAAGGAAAACACCTCGGCGTGACGCAACTGCCAAAGAGTAAAAGTTTAAAAAAACCTCCTGCGCAGCCCAAGAGCTGCTGGGGATGCTCTTGCTGGCCCCGTGGGACACTGCCATCCTCCCCAGGGAGCACGTACCTTGGAGATGTAGTAGACGCACTGCTGGAATGTGTACATGATCACCTCCTCCAGCACCGTCATCGCCTCCTCGCTGGCTGTGATGGTCGAGGAGAACAGAGATTCCTTGGAGCCTACGGGGCGGAGAGGAGGATGGGGGAGCAAGCCTGCAGCAGCAAGGCAGGCCAAATTCACCGCTCCCCAGATGCCCGGGGTGAGGGTTATTAGTGCTCCCGGGCTGGCATCACCACCATGGCATCCCTCAACAGGGGCAAAGAGGCTCCTCTTGCCCCAGAGAGCACCCTACTGCCATCTCCCACAGCTCACAACGCCGCTGGCAGCACAGCCCGGCGCTGCAGCACAGTGGCCTCTGCCCCGCAGGCAGCCCAGGGCTGCACCCCTCCTTCCAACAGCCTGTCTGGCCTACGAACGTTTTAACTTGCTGCATAGACCAGAAGGTTTCTGAGGCTGATTTAATCCCTTTTCCCTTTTTATCCTTATTTTTTCGCTGGCATTAACAAGGGCTCACCAGTGAGCAATTCTGCAGGGCTGCCTGCAAATCCAGGTGCCCTCGCAGCAGCCGGGGGACAGAAAGCCACCCCCGAGGCATTAACCACAAGCTGCCGTGGTGGAAAGGGGAGGCTCGGCTGCAAACAAAACACAACCTGGCCCCGAAGCCGAGCAGCACCACAGCACGACACGAAACCGCTCCTCCCGCACAGACTATCCCAGCCTGCACCGTGGAGACATCCCTGCTGATGAGGATTACAGGGGGTTAAAGGAGTATCTCGGGGGCACTGACCACTGCTTGAGACTGGGGATTAGCAGAGCAAAGTCGCTCTGGCCGGAGAAGCAAGCAGGGTGCTGCATCCAGGCCTACCTCTGACGTCCAGCTCCTCCTCCATGCTCTGGATGTAGGTGGGCGATTTCTGCTGAACGAAGTAGAGGACCTCGATGGCGTTGGCCATCCAGAAGAGGATGTGCTGCAGGTCCGGGAGAAGGTCCGTGATGGTGAAGCGGGACAGGGTGGCAGGGTCCTGGCTGGGGAGACACAGCGGGTGTTACAGCTGCTGCTCCTCGGCATCCCCACTCAAGCTTTTGGGGAGAAAACAGCCAGCCTGGGGCAATGCCAGGAGAGCATTTGCACCCCCTCCACTCCCAAGTCCAGCACCCCCTTAGGAAGATCCTTTGCAAGGAAAAAATCTGGTGGTTCTTGCTCTGCGGGACAGTGAAGGGGACCCTGAGGGGATTGAGCTGGCCAAAGGCCACCTAGCCTTTGTGAGGTGCCACTTTTCAAGGGGGGGGACTCCCCCTAATACAGCTGAACTGCAGTAAATACTTGTGGCTGAATAGCAGCTCTCCCCGAGAAGTATGTGCTATTCCTGCCAGCTCTGGACCGTTAAACCCAGCCTGCCTGCGCTGGGCTGTTCAAAAATAAAACAAAATAAATAAAAAGCATCTGGGAAGTTTCTCAACTGCTGAACAGCTTTTTCCTGTTATAGGAAAGGCCTGGGAAGCATCCTCTGAGCTCGTCCTGAAGGAAAGCTCAACAGCAAGCACCAACAGTTTCTCCAGATGCTGCTTTGGAGCCTGGATTTTGGAAATGGCTGGGAAGCTGGCCTCACACCCCACCGGGAGCCAGCCACCCGCACAACTGTGACGGCCCCAAAGAGGTGCTCCCCACCCCAGGACACCATGTGCCACCATCCTTGGATGCACACATCCAAAGCCAGCCCCGTCCTCACTCCGCAGGGGCGTCTTCAGCATGAACTGGGTGAGACCCCACACCGGGACCGTCCCTGCTACGTCCCTCGGGGATGCTGAAGCCACATGTGCAAAGCCTTGGCCTGGTCTTGGATTGGAGAAGACCCCAGAGCTGCTGCAGGTCCTATTCTCCCCCGAGCTCTCCTGTATTTCCAGACCCACGCATTCCCAAGCAGGGTCCTTGCAGGCACCGTGGTAAAAGGACCAGAGAGGCGAATGCGTGGGATTGAGCAGGAAAACACAGCGTGCGTTGGTGCTAGGAGGGTGGTTATAACCAGCCATGGGGTCCCCTTGCTTGTGGAAGAAGAACTGGTTTGAATCCTTCCCGTTTCAGGGCAAAATGAGGAGGGGTGGCGGGCTGCACTTACTGCTGGGACTGCTTCTCAGCCAGCTCCCGCGTCCGCTCCTGGGCAGGGAGAGAAGGGGAAAGCAAAATGAAAACCAGCTGGATGGGGCAGCATGAGCATCACCCCAACCAGCACTCACTGCTGCCAGGCACAGGGCTGGGGCAAGACCCCAGGGGGGTCCAGCAACATCCCCACCCCACCAACACCCCTGTCCCACCGCCGACTGACCCACACTGTCCTCTGGATCATTTTGGCCACTTTGAGCAGCAGCTGTCCGAAGTCGCCCGGCTCGAAGCTGGTGGCCGAGTGCTGGATGCAGAGGCAGAGCAGGAAGGCGGGTGTCAGCTTGTGGTCGTCCCCCCCCGGCTCGATCAGGGTCCTGAGGCGTCGCAGGCGCAAGCCCTCGGCTGCCGGCTCAAACTCCAGCAGCAGCTTTCTGCGGGGCACCCTGGGGCCGCCGATGGGTGATAGGCCCCGCTTTTTGGTCGCAGGGTCCCTCTCCTTCAGCAGGCTGCCACACGCCCCACAGACGGGGGGACCCTCGGGGACGGCGGGGGGCAGAGCTCGTAGCCTCAGCAGGGTCTGCGCCGGCAGCGGCTGCGCCTTCATGGGGTCCTTGTAGAGGAGCAGGTAGTAGAGGCCGAGGGAGAGGAGGTCCCCGTGCTGCAGCACGACCGTCCGGGCCACCTCGGCGAAGTTGATGGAGATGCCGGCGCCGGCAATGGGCTCCAGCACCAGCTTCTCCTCCCACCGATGCCGGGAAGGTCGGAGCTTCCTGATGGTGCAGTGCAGGGGCAGGATGTCGGGGGCCGACAGGCTGATGCTGGGCTTGCTTGCCTGTGTCCTCTGGCCCACCGTGTGCTGCTCGCGATTCAGCAGGTAAACCAAGCTGTCCTGCCAAGCGGGGAGATGTGGCATGAACC